ACGAGCTTCTGATATACATAGATATTGATTATCATCACTTCCCAAAACTCTCAAATTTCTACCTTCACAATTCAAAATTTTCGCAAATTACGATTCGAAAAATAATTTTCCGTATCTCATGAAAGATACATCCATATCTAATTTTCCCCAAAGCCTCTTATCAGTAGTTCCTACCTATATCAAATTTGATTTTAGGAGTTTCTCTATAGGAGTTGTTTTAATTTCCCCAATGCACTTTAGCATCCAAGATTGCATATTTTGTCCACCGTTTTCCTCTTCTCCTCTATCAACACAACAACATTTCATAGTCAGATTCACTGCCACCAAAAGCCGTCGTTTCCATTTCAACTACCATGATCACCTTCCTTCTTAAACCCCTTCTCAAGTTTCGACTTCGGATTAGGTTTACGCTTTCCTTCCCTCTTTCCTTTTTTAAGGAACCGGGAATTTGATCTTTTTGTGGTTTTGATAGTTTAGAAAATATTAATTATGTATGGTATTATTCAAATTAGTTACTGTTGAGAGGTAATGAGTCTAATTTCCCCAATATAAAAGGGGTTTCCGGAAGGCTTGCTCGATATTAAGCCCCTGTTGGTTTATCTGAAAAATGAATTTTTAATCGATTTTAATAAAAGTTGATGAGTAGATGTGTGGTTGAAAAATTGATATAAGTTGTGGGTTTTAAGAAATGTACGATTTTAAATAATTTGTGAAAAAATTGAGTTTTAGAAAAATGGAGATCAAACGTGAGCTGGATGCCCACGAACTGGTGAACCGAACCCACTAGTTCACCATTTTACAGGTATAAGCAATGTTGACTTCAATAATGCGAAACATGTTTATTTTAGTCTTTTTGTAAAATCACTTAAGGTTTCACTTTGCAGTCAACTCGTAACCTAAGATACATTAAAACGAAAATACCGTTAAATTCGTGTAATGATAGTAGGCAGAAAATGAGGCAAAAAATGGGAAAGTCACTAAAAACGTGTATTTTTCTAGACGGTTTATTCTCTATCAATAGCCCCACGGTCCCCACCTGTAATAGCTTCCACATTTAAATCAAAGCTAATAAGCCTTCTCCTTCCTTGCATTTTCACTATATAAATTAATGCCCTCAAAATATCAAAGCTAATAAGCCTTTTCCTTCCTTGCATTCTCTAAATAAAAAATTGTCTTTGCCATGGCATTTTCTTCCACCTTTGCCTTTTCAGTGAAACGGTGTAAGCCTGAACTGGTGGTGCCGGCAAAGCCTACACCACGTGAAATAAAGAAACTCTCCGATATAGATGATCAAGAAGGTTTACGGTTTCAAGTTCCGGTAGTGTTTTTCTATAAAAGCAATCCTTCAATGAAAGGGATAAATCCAGTTGAAGTTATTCGGGAAGGACTTGCGAAAACACTGGTTTATTACTATCCCTTTGCTGGGAGGATTATGGAAGGAGAGAACAGAAAACTTATGGTTGATTGCA